TCTGTTTTGCGTTGTATTGTCTTGTAATGTTAAAAAAAGAACGAAAACAGGACTGGTCAGATAGCAGCGGTGGTGAGAGAGAGTCCAGGGTGTTGAATTGGGGAGGTGAAGGTTTTTTTTATAAGCTGTCTGGACATGTAGGAGCCAGGAGTTCTGAAGTTTAGAAGAAAGCCTGTTAAAAAAACTTGGCACTTTGATGTGGCTGGCTCGAGAAAAAAAGGGAATTTCTTCAACTGAACTGCTTATTTTGGCTTATTCTAAAAACCTGGTTGATTAAAGGGATATTAGATGTGTGCGTTGTAAGGGATGCAGCGTTGAATCTCTACTCACGTCATTTGAAACAGCGAAAGAGCCCAGGGGGACGTAGCAGACAGCTCTACCGCACAATGACACCTTATTAGCCACAAAGAAGCAACAAACCTCCGGTGTGTTTTCACAGCTTGGGAGCTGGAGGTGATGTGGGGTCCGGGGAAGTGCAAACACAGGACTTCCTCGCTCCACGGCCTGGAAGAAAGTTTCACTGGCCAGATTGAAGTTAAAATAAACAAGCACAACAATTTGAAAAACCCATCGGTCCGTCGCATGCATTGGAGACATTCTTAAAGAGGGTGGATGTAAACTTAAAGAGTAGTTTTGTGATGTCAGGCCTCCAAAGAAGTAGATGTTTTGTGTGGATGAAAATGTAACAAATTGTCTGTAAGTTTCCAATAAAGTCATGTCTTGTCAATGAGTTTACCTTTAGAAAGAAGAATATCCATATGTCAAAACAACATATATTTGAACACATTTGGGGACCTTTTCAGCTAACCTTACAAATTAATTTTTTTAAAACTTCCAATTATTTACACTGTTTGGAGATGATTACTCTCTAATTTGAAGAGAAGCTAAACATTTTCAGAAGGCCCAGTTTTATTGTGTGTTTGTTTTTGTTATTACTTCATTCTTTATTGAAATGACTGTGTAGTTCTGAACTATTCTGATAACTTGTTTAACTGAAGCTGTATATAACGTTGGACAAATTGTAGTATAATATCTATAGAGGATAAAAGTCATGTCTGGGCTCAGATTGCGGCCTCCACTACCAGGCAATGGATAAAGCGAATGAAAATATATGGATGGAGTAAAGGGTGGCCTTTATTTTTGTCTAAATTGTCCAGAAGTTTCCCATAAAAAGTCATGTCTTGTTGCTGAGTCTACCTATAGTGAGAATAACGAATGTCCATGAGTCAAAACAAAATATGTGACAAATTTGGGGACCTTTTATAGGCTTTATCAAACTCAGACTTTTCAGCTAACCTGACAAATAAAAAAATACAATCATTTACTCATATTTTGGATGTGAGTACTCTCTAATTTGAAGAGGAGCTATACATTTTCAGAAGGCCCAGTTTTATTGTGTTTATCTTGTGTTTGTTTTATAAAAATCACTGTTTTAGTTCTGAATTACTCCGTTCACTTGTTTAACTGAAGCTGTACGTCATATTACATTGGACAAATCTTAATAAAATATATATGGAGATAAAAGAAAGTCCTGTCTGGGCTCAGATTGCCGCCTCCACTACCAGGCAATGGATAAAGCGAAAGAAAATGTATGAATGGAGTAAAGGCCTTTCAGACGTTTTTTTTTTAAGAACTTTAATGATAAAATACAAACATGCAAGAACTGTGCAGACTTCTGTTCAGCTGAAACGTTTAGACCCATGTAGAAAAATAAGACATACAGTATTCAGTTAAATTGTAAGATTATTTTAAGTAAATCATGCATCAACAAGCAAGCTGGGGTTCTTTATTTTCTTAACTTAAAAACTTAACTGCTGCAGTTCTTTGGGGATCGTCCCTATTTCATATTTCTCTATGAAAAAGCTGATTCAAAGCTTCATAATTTAAAACTGTAGCTGCTGAAAAACATTGGTGTATTTTGGTATAAACTTAGGCATAAATATATACAGATAAGGAATAAAAGAAAATAGGGAGGGGAGGGAAGATTGTGGTTTAATGAATCTCGAGGTGTTATTGATGTTTGTGAAGATTTTTTTTTCATTTTGTTTGTGGGTCTGTGTGATGGTGTAGTTGTGATGTATAAAAAAAATGTAAAGAAGTTGTCAAAAGGATTGTTGTCATCCTCTTAGCGAGCCCGGGAGATGGATCAGTTAGATGCATTAGATTACATTGAGTTCCATGTTGTGGCTTGAAAGTGAGGTACCCCCAAGTTAAGTGCAGTACTGTTACTTTTTGCTACATTCCGCTGCATTTTGATTGCTGAAGAGAAGACCATTGGGATAAGTTGTATATTTGGTTCCTCTGCCTCAGTCCTAAGCCTCATGCCTCTGCCGCCTGTAAAAGCACACTGCCAGCCCCGGGACCACACACATGTGGAGCCAGGCCTCTGCGGCATGACGACCGCCGCATTGACCCTCGCAATCCAAATACAGCAGTGGCCTCAGCAGACTTACACCCAGGACAGGTGCTGCTGCTGCTGCTGCTGCTGCTGCTGCTGCTGTGATGTGGTGGTCGAGGAGAGAGACTCTGTTTGGGCTAAGAGCAATCACTGTGTTGACACGGGCTATAAAAAGTGGTGATTGATTTAAATGTTGTGAAAATATGGTGAAAAAATGAATAGTGTTTCAGGATGACGGTTGTCTAATATACACAGAAAAGAAACTTTAATCTATTTTTATAATCCGTGACAATAATACTCAGACAAACACACGCACTTAAAGCGGGAGTAACAAACTTTGAAGCTACAACAAATTAACTATATTAAAGAATCTATGTAACTAGTTCCTGGCTCGCCAAACAGAAAAATATGTTTACATACTGAGAGACAAGACAGAATGTTGTTGTCTAACTCTTAAAATTATACAAGAAATTTTCTATTGGGACCAACAAAATGTATTGCTAAGAAAAAAAATATGTGTATGTATGACTTTTTTAAAGCTATATATTTTGTTAAGCTAGGTGCCCCAGCTTTAATTCAGCTCTTCACATTCAAAATTACCTCGTTTATAGTTCAGATCTTCAGACGTCTTTCCTTCTGCTCATATTGTGTATTTTTTTCAACAACACAGCAGTTACTCCAGTACTCCAGCTTTAAAAGAGTTGATTGTATTTAGATGGAGGATACAAGGCAAATACAGGGGGTAATGTTGTCTTGGGCGACCCCACCAAACCAAGTGTTATTTTCTTGACCCTTTGTCAAAATAATCTGAGACAAACTGGCTTCAGTGTGGCGATGTATCCTCCACTCTGGGCTGCTCCCTGGACTCTGTGGAGGAGGTGAGGGACAGGAGGGTGCTAGCCAAAGCCACCTCCATCATGAACAACACCTCCCACCCACTGCACAGGACTGTAGAGGAGCTGAGGAGCTCCTTCAGTGGAAGACTGAGACACCCTCAGTGTAGGAAGGAGCGCTACCGCAGGGCCTTTATCCCCACCGCTGTCAGACTGTACAATGAGTCACTTTAAATGATCACTGTGTGAAAACCTGCACTACTATTGACACTGTTTCCAATTGACACTTGTCACTTTTGTTGTACATAATTATTGTCACTTTATTGTACATATATCCTGCATGTAACATGTTTGCACATTTCCTCCTTTTGCACAATCTGAGTGTCTCTATCCATGCCAAATGTGACATGTAAATTTCTCCTATGTGGGATAAATAAAGAAAATCTTATCTTATCTTATCTTATCTTATGAAGTGCTATAGTATTAGTCATTTAGTTGTATTGTGGAGCCCCAAAGGGTTTATCCACTAGAATTTACCAGATAGACTAAGACTTCACAAATCTCTTTTTTATTTGGTTCTACAAGGCCTCTTCCAATATTGTTTTTTTGGCTCTGTATCGACAAGACACTATACACAAATTGGGATCTTGTGGTAGAGATCCAGACCTACACATGCTAATAAAAGTGTATAGTTCTGGTGAGAAAAAAATAAAAAATACATTGACAAAGGGCGAAAGTAGCTCAGTTGGTAGAGCATTGGCCTTTAAGCCAGAAGGTTGTGGGTTCGAGCCCACCTCAAGACTTTCACCATCAACTCCCACTGTCTGCTGTCGTTTTGTCCTTGGCAAGACACTAAACTTCTGGGAACACCAGCCACAGTGGGGTGGCTGTGGCTGTAAAGTGCCAAACTGCTGTTGTGTCCTTAGGCAAGACACTTCACCCACATTTCCTAGAATGAGTCTGGTGTGTGTGTGAATGGTTGGTGGTGGTCAGAGGGGCCGATGGCACATACTGGTTGCCTCGCTTCTGTCAGTGTGCCCAGGGCAGCTGTGGCTACAGTAGTAGTTTATCACCATGGAGTGAAAGAATAATGACATGTAAAGCGTCTTTGAATGTCCAAAAAAGCGCTATATAAAACTGATGCATTATTATTTTATTATTTGGTGGTTGTTAAGTAAATAAAAACGTATAAAATGTTCAATGTACATGTAACATTTGATCTCATCACCTGCTTTTCACTATTTTCCACAATGAAAAATAGTCAACCAAGCAGAAGCACACCAGACTCCTCCCATTTCTTCATGTTAGTCCAGTGTTAACCTGGACACTTGAGGAAAGTCTAGGTTGGTGTGCTCCTAATTGTTCGGAATGAAAACCTGCACCCACTCAGCCCTTTGAGGACCAAGTTGAGTAGTTCTATTCATAATCAAAAGTCTTGAGCCCATAAGTCAACCTCAATTCGAAGCAAAACATTGACGCATCGCCCAATATGACTGTGTCGCCGAGAAACTCAAACCACAATGTTTTTAATGTTACAATAAAAACTCCAAAATCAGCCAAGTCACAAACTTTTTTTCTTTGGCAGCATTTTAAAGAACGCGCTGAAATCAAACGTATGAAAGCTGCCATAATTTACAACTGTCATCACTTGTAATCAGAGAAAACAAAGATGATAATAAAATGCATAGTTATCCATGGCATGAATCCAGGGAAAATAAGTCTGGCTGTGTGCGAGCGGGAAGCGGTGGGCTGCCGTGTCACAAAGACTCATGTTGTGGAATGAGCACGAGCTGGTACCATCTGAGGCCCTGCTCCAACCACCGCAGCTGAGAGGTGTCCCGCCCTGGCCCCTGATCAGGAGGAGCCCAGAGGAGGAGGCTGCAGATGCGAGGAGAGGAGCATCTACAATGGGACTGTATGGAGCGGCGTGGGTGGGGCCTGGAGACTGACCAGGAGAGAGCGGTTGATGAGGGCCAAAGTTCTGTTTGTTGACATTGGATTCTAGCTTGGATTCTGATTTTGTGATCTCAATAATAAATGTGTGGAGATACATAGATAGATAGATGTCTCTCAAAGAGGAACAGGCACCAGGCAAGCTTTGGTCAAAATGAATGAATGAATGAATACTTTATATTGAGTCATGACAAACAAGAACAAACAACAAAAACAACAAAAAAACAACAGAATAGAAAAAGACACAATACATGATAATATACAAATATATGTTGTTATGCAAATGAAAGCAATGATAAGCAAATTCTCCCTGTCACGATTTGACAGTTTGGTTGCATGTGTTTTTGCTAGTTGAAACCAATTGATATTTGCACAAATTAAAAATAAGACTTTACTTTGTCACATAATAAAACATTTATTAACCTCGCGCTCATTTAACAAGCCGTAAGTATGTACCATCAGAGGCCGCTCAGACTCCACCAGAGACAGCCTGAGACCCAATGGGATAAAAATGAACTTTCATGGCACGCAAACAAAACATATTTGTCTTGATTTTTCTGCTATCGCCTGCATGCAGAGTAAATCATCCATCCAGTTCTAAAAACGCACACAATTCATTTCATGCACCGTAATAAACAAGCGGAGTCCACACATCCGCGTCCCGCTTCAGAATCCCTCACAGCGGGAATGAGAGCGTGGTCTTTGGGGTCCACAGCTGTGCACTCCCCCGGATCCACGCTCCCCTCTGCTCCTCTGAGTCCTGTGTCATTGGGGCCTCCTCCTCCTCCTCCTCCTCCTCAGTCAGAGCCATCAGTCAGGACACAATAGGCTACCTCTCCCCAAGCCTGTTGTTCTTGGAGCATGGAAACACACAGACCTCCTTGTTCTACCTCACGGGTGACAGGAACGAGCCAAGAAGGCAGTCTGATGGAATTATCTCATTCAGCAAAACAATTAGTGATTATTACTCATTTTGCCGGTTAAGGAATAGTCCTGAGACGGCTGGCTGTGATAAGTGATTTCCAAATAGATGTGAGATTAAAGAAATACTTTATTCATCCCACAGTGGGGAAATGTCAGTGTTGTATCACAAGTTACAGAATAGTAGTAAAAATGAAAAAAATGAAAGTTTTACAGAGCTATTTAACGTGACAATGACGCGCCAACACAGGTATGAAAACTAATACAAACAGAGATGCACTATGACTTTAACAATCTCATCTTTCGGATTATCTTGCTAAATGTCTGTTGTGTGTACTGTGTGTGATCTATGCGTGGTTGAAAATGAGTTTCATTTTTTGTTTTACTGCCCATTGTATCACGACTTCAGACCTAAATTGTATGAGATCATTCAGAAAAATCCTGATTTGTTTTGACTGTCTGAAGGTGATCGTGTTATGTTTGGTCACTTCTGGAAAAGGTCTGGACACTGAGACAGAGAACACTTTATCCACTTGCAGCAATTATTATTTTTGCTGCTTGGACCATCTTTCCTTTGTTGTGTTACTGTAGTGTCATATAAGCTCATGTGGCCTGGCACTAAAATAACGTTCATTCATTCAGTAAATCTTAAAAAAAATAGGAGAATGCCTGCATATCTATATTACTCTTATAACTTGTTTTTGTACCTTGAGCCAAAGCAAATTCCTAGTTTGTGATGAGGAATTTATAATGGCAATAAAAAATAATTCTGTTTCTTATTGTTTGTCCAAGGTTCCATTTGAGACGGCCACCATTCAGAATCAGAATGAGGAGCACACAAACACAAAAACTAATGTACACTAATCGACAAATGGACTAAATGGGTAAATCCTTGTGAAACTTCAGAAAACCAAATTAGACAAATACACTTTCAATTCTATTCTTATTGTGTTCATAAATCCTGCCCAGAGTTTATGCCTTGTTCCGATGGACTCGAAAGCCCAGTCTGTCAAATGCATTATTACTCAATGTCTTGAAGTGCGGACACCTGCTTTTTATGGCTTTTTCTCACCATATGCAGGACATTCCTCTCACAGTAACAGGTAAAACAGAAACTACCATTTATTCTAACCTTGACTTCGGGGGAAAACACGCCAACGCTACAAAATCATTAGTCCACCTGATAGTTCACCAATGAATCGCAATAGAACATTTATGAGGGACCCATGGAAGAAGTGGGTTTGGTTATTTGGTTATTTTTAAGGGAGAATGTGCCTGTATTTTTCTAAAAGGCATTTAACATTTTAATTTGATATATTTGTATTTATATTTATATTTGTATTTATATTTTATATACTGTGAAAAGAACAGAATGTTCTGTCTTTTTATATAAAGGAGGAATAACAACTCTATATGAATTAATTATTGTTCGTTGATTGGATATACAGATGATTCAACAGCATTGTGCAGGCATCAAAGGAGAGAAAAAAATAAACTGCCATCAATATTTCAATGTGGAATGAGAAAAGCCCCGTGACTCCGGTGGTGGAGGTGTGGTCTTGTAGTCTCCCTAGGGCCCAGAACCTATAGTGGAGTCTCCCCCCGGGGCCTCGAACGTGGTGTGGTGTTGTAGTCAGGGCCTGATGGAGTCTCCTCATGGCCTAGACCCAGGCGGTAAAGTCTACCCTGGGGCCAAGACCTGGTTGATAAAGCCTACCCTAGGACCTAAAACCTGGTGGTGGAGTCTCTTCAGGACCTAGACCTGGGTGGTAAATCTTACCTGGGGCCCAGAACCTGGCGATGAATTCTACCCTGGGGCCAAGACCAAATCAGGCCACGGTAGTGGAATCACAGCCAACACCATGATGATCCACAATGAGGTGGGGATGGGGAGGAGGTGGGTAGGTGCAAGGGCAGCAGCTTGATGCAGGGATTGGGAGGCTCTGTTCAAATGCAGCCGTTAAGTAATGTCGATGAGCGCAGGTGTGTGACTGAGGCTGATTGCTTGATGAGCTCAGGCTGAAGGTGAGTGAACTCTGAGCCTTCGCTGGCGCTGAGAGGAGCAGAATATGCAGAAATAATGGGACTGAATACTTTATTCTTTTCGATCTATCATTTTTGGAGTTCAAACTTAATTACATATTGAAATTAACATGGTGATTGAAATGTAGGTACTCGAGTTGTATACATTCACACTACAGCATATACAGAATTTGGCACACCTATTAAAGCATTATTGTTTTTTTTCAGATAAAAAGCGTGTAAAACTAACATTTTGTGAACAAATCAGACCAAATGCTCCAAGAAAACATGTTTTCTTTTGCCCTGTGAGTCAATATTTGATGGTGGTCCTCTCTTTTTCCCTTTACTGTCTAAAAAAGCTGAAAATGAATGTAACTTCAATTCAATTCATTCTTGTATAGCCCTAAATCACAACAGTAGTTATTTCAGAGGACTTTACAAAACCGTTGAATTTGCCAACACAGGTCAGAGAATCAAACAGTTCAAACACAAGAAATGCAATGAAGCACAAAGAGCCATTGGTCCATAAGGGGCAGATGACCAGTGTCCATAAATGATGAAGTCCATGAATGACGTTGAATGTCACCACTGTCCTTCGGCAAGGAACAACTCTAAACTCCTGCAATCTCTCACAAATTTGACATCTTGCCAAAATGGTCCAACCCAGCAACACAACAAGTTCTTTGAGCCGAAAAAATGAGCGACTGGAGAGGAGCTGATAAAAGCTGTGTTTAGTGGCTGCTGTTCCCCTGATGGAGGCTAATCTCTGACTTTGTAGTGGCCGGAGATGCACGTGCATTCTTGGATGTTTATCGCCAAAAAAAAAGCCAGGCAGGGCTGTTTGTGCGTCCTGATTGGCTTTAATCTTTATCGCAGCCTGTGCCATGACGGAATCGGGCCCCTGTTACGGCTGGGATGTGGAAAAAGTGAGAGTGAAAGCAGAGAGGTGTCTCATGGATGTGGACGCTGATTACAAACCAAATACTCCATTTTGTGTGTGTGTGTGTGTTTTTCTATTTTCCTTTTGAGTCACAGAGCATATTTGACCACACTACAGTCTCAGAGCAGACGAGAAGATATTAGTCACTGTGAATCCTGTAATCAACACGCAAAAAATGCATTAAAGTGAATGTAAATAACTGTTTCGAGTGTGAAGAGACATTTTTTTCAATTATCGTCATCACAGTAACTTGCAGCATTGATGGTGATGGGCTACTATGGGATATGTTATACCTCATTTTAAAGCCTTATTATTATCTCAGATAAACAACCAAATAATTAAATCTGTTCTAAAAGGTTAACTGACATGTACTGTATGTATAAATAAATAAATATCAGTTATATCCATATCATATCCAAACTTTTCTTAAATACAGTTAATTGGTCAAAAGACAATTAAAGGTATTGAACAACAAAAATAATTATAATAAAGGATTATAAAAGAAATACACTTGTACTTCTGGCCTCAACCAGCTGTTTTGTTTTTACATTTGGCCCCCGACCAAAATCACTTTGACACCCCTGAGTTAGACCCACCCATTCTCAACCCCACTGCTTTTCTAATCTACATTTAAATTCTTGATACACAGAGGAGGTTCCTTACCATTGGCCCAACTATTCTTCTCCAGCAAATCTCATTGGTGGCTGTTATGCCATGAGGGACTGTTTTAAAGGGGTCATATCCAAAATGCGCTCTCAGTGATCTAATAGACGTACACAGTTTTGGTAGAATAATACCCTGCTATATTTCTGAACTAAACATTCATAAAGTCTTTTTTTTTTGGTTGAGAAACGTATTTGCCAATAAAAAGAATCCTAATCGGAACTCATTTAACACTAGGACTTCCAGGATTTAGATACTACTCAAACTCCCAGAGCCGTCATTTGGACTGCTCCCATTCAAAAACCAAAACAATGGAACTCTGAAAAAATCCTTCTTAAACCGTTAAATTAAAGGAAGTAATCTGAAACGTTTTTTTTATTTTTATTTTTTCTCTAACTCACTTTTATTAAGTGCTAAAGCTGCTGAATAGAACTTGAAATTCCTCAAAAACAGTTGAAAGGCTAACGCTAAAGACTGAATGCTAACTGCTGACAGTAAACAGTGTGTTGCCATGGTAACTAGCACAAAAAAGGAGTTGGAGTCTCATTTCAAACACTGACATACAGATAAACTAACTATAAAAAACTATAAAAAGTGACACATTTAGGAAAATAAAAATTGTACACACACGTTCAGTAATTACACTTGCAAAACCAGAGCCCATAAAATGAATTGTTCTGGGAGTGTTGTCGAGCTTCAGTCCTGCCTCTGTATGCGTGATGTGAGTGGTTCCGTTCTATGGGGGGTGTATACGGATCTCTGAGCGTTCATAAATCAAAGAGCTAATAAATTGAAAGGTAAATGACTTCTTGGCCTGTGCATATATCACAGAGAGAAACCCAATGAAGTCTTGTATACCCCTGAGGACGCTGGAATGCTTCTGTTCACAACAATGATTTGTGGATGCTCCCCGTGCACCAGCAACCACCATACGACACCTGAAAATGCATTTACCACTTTCAGTTAGCACCAGGATGTCACTCAGCCAAAGTTACATACTGGGGCTTTAGGATAAACATGGAGTTAAAGCTGGGGTACCTAACTTTTCTTGTCATATTTTGTACCGACAGTAAGAGGCCTCAAAACGTAACATTAAAGTCGTGGTGTGGATTTTTTGTTAGTTTACATGATTTTATTTTGACTTTTGTGAATTTCTCTGTGGTTTTAGTTGGGTTTTACTTCCTGTCCTGGTCCCCTGTTGATTGTCTGCCCTGTACCTGTGCTTCCCTCCCCTTTTTGCTGGTCTATTGCTTGTCTTTCTCTCTTCCTGGTTCCGTTTGGACACAGAGTTTGTTGGACTTTTATTGATCCTCATTGAATCATTATTATTTTTGCATTCCTGCATTTTGGGTCCTCCTTCATTTCATCACATGGCAATTTTGACCAGATCACCTTTAAACGTGTTGGAATGTTTTAAGTTGCATACTCATTTCATTTGCATACAAGAAGCCCTGTGAGTCACAATATGAAGAATTGGGCTGAGAGCTGATTGTGGTCCTCTCTGTTTCGCTTTTCTGCTCGAAAAAGCTGATTTAAAGATGTGACACAGGGCAAAAAATGCATGTGTATATGAAGGGAACCATAAAACTAAATTGTTAAGTGTGAGGAACTAATTTGAAGGATATAATGTTGGTGTTTGAAAGTTTGGTACCCTAGCTTTACCCAATTTTGTGTTTTTCCCATGTTACAATGGTTACCCCTTGGAGTTGGAAGGGGTGGAGTTGTGTTTAGCTTCATACTAAAATCAAGAACTTTGCACAAACACGTCCCCCTGCCCCTTCTGTCTGATTTATCTTTCCAAACTTGAATGAATGAATTTATTGAGTATGTCAGAGTCAACTCAATATCAAATATGCAATACATAGAGCATTCATATGTCTTACCCCACCACATCGTACTCATTTCATGTTGGGAAATAATATTTGATCAGAGTATACAGGTGCGGGCATACAATACAGGAGCGGGCATACAATACAGGTGCGGACATGCAAACAAATACAAAAACACAAACAGTAACAGTATAATTCATGTTCCATAACAAAAAGATCGACAAACTCACCGCACTGTAACAAATTATCTGAACAGAGCTGTTTTCTGCCAATTAAACCAAAAGTGTTGCTCCCAAACTATTTTCGGCTTGATCTTTAATGGCTTTCTTTATTATTGTGGGCCTTCAATTATTCAACAGCATCTTGGATTTAAACAAAAATACAGTATAATGTTACTTGCAAGTTGGTGCAATCGAGTCACATCTTTTCCATACACCAATAAATTCTGCAATAAATTATATAAATTTCACAGTTCAGTGTCAGCACCCAAGGTATTCATATACTGGTATAAGAGAAGGCAGAAATGTTTTGCCAGAAGATATAAGGCTTACGGTATTAACCATTTTTACGGAGACAAGCAATGCCATCTTCCAAAGATGTGTGGTAAGCAATTGTTTGTTTTACTTTTTTCAGTGAAAACAGCAGAAACATATATCATTTTAAATGTTGTGTAAAAGGCAGTGAAAACCTCTCATTGGAGACCAGGACTTGCAAACTCTTCACAAACGTTTTACAGTTTCAATGAGCCTCTCGTTGTTCCCCATTAAACCAGATCCACTGCGCTCCAGGACAAGGGCATGACTTTTGAACCAATTGCGCCCTCTGTTGGACCAGGTACTTATAACGTACGTTGTGATAATGTCTTCCTTGAGATACAGTTGAGCTCTTTACCCATTTTATAGACAATAAGATAACTGATGATTAAAGCTGGGGAAGAATTATTATTTTTTAAATGATAAAACCCATGTCCTATATCTCCATCTTATATTTTCTCATACTGCTTTGACAATTTGGGCTTTCCGTTTGATTTGGTGACAATACTTCTCCAACACTTTTCTGTTGTTACTACAGAGTCTCATGTTATTCTCAGTTTCAGCTGGTGGAGTGTCATGTGATGGTTATCAATGAAACAGGTTTGCTCAAAACGGTTGGGGAACATTGGTCTAAGCTCAATTTAAAAGTTTGATCTGAGACAAATTACACTTCTTGCTATCCCACACTGACTTTGTGATGAGTGAAAGACTGTGGGAACTGCAGCCTCTCCTAGATACAAAAAAAAAACTCTTTCGGGTGCATAAATCAAGAA